AAATTAAGAATCTAAATACACGGTTAGATTCGGCATATCAAAGAACCCCAATAATTCAATTTTTGATGAAATCAAACAAAGTTAAATTTTGGACCCTTTGGACTTCAATGTGGACCAATTTAAAAACGGGGCCCAAAATCCAAAAACTTAATACACGGTTAGATTCAGCATATTACAGAACCCCATATATTCAATTTTTGTTGAAATCAAACAAAGTTTAATTTTGGACCCCGATTTGGACCAACTTGAAAACTGGGCCCATAATCAAAAATCTAAATACATGGTTAGATTCAGCATATCAAAGAACCCCATATATTCAATTTTTGTTGAAATCAAACAAAGTTAAATTTTGGACCCCGATTTGGACCAACTTGAAAACTGGGCCCATAATCAAAAATCTAAATACACGGTTAGATTCGGCATATCAAAGAACCCCATATATTCAATTTTTGATGAAATCAAACAAAGTTTAATTTTGGACCCTTTTGATCTCAATGTGGACAAAGTTGATAACGGGGCCCAACAATCAAAAATCTAAATACATGGTTAGATTCAGCATATCAAAGAACCCCATATATTCAATTTTTGTTGAAATCAAACAAAGTTTAATTTTGGACCCCGATTTGGACCAACTTGAAAACTGGGCCCATAATCAAAAATCTAAATACATGGTTAGATTCAGCATATCAAAGAACCCCATATATTCAATTTTTGTTGAAATCAAACAAAGTTTAATTTTGGACCCCGATTTGGACCAACTTGAAAACTGGGCCCATAATCAAAAATCTAAATACATGGTTAGATTCAGCATATCAAAGAACCCCATATTTTCAATTTTTGTTGAAATCAAACTAAGTTTAATTTTGGACCCTTTGGACCTTTATGTAGACCAATTTGAAAACAGAACCAAAAATTAAGAATCTAAATACACGGTTAGATTCGGCATATCAAAGAACCCCAATAATTCAATTTTTGATGAAATCAAACAAAGTTAAATTTTGGACCCTTTGGACCTCAATGTGGACCAATTTAAAAACGGGGCCCAAAATCCAAAAACTTAATACACGGTTAGATTCAGCATATTAAAGAACCCCAAGAATTCAAGAATAAAACCCCATTGAAATTGATCAAGAAATAAGCAATTTATACGAAGTATCTTCTTTTGCACAATACTGTGCAATTGATTATTTCTTGCTATTGCGCAATACTGTACAATTGACAATTTCTTGCTATTGCGCAATATTGTGCTATTGGATATTTCTTGCTATTGCGCAATACTGTGCAATTGAAGATTTCTTGCTATTGCGCAATACTGTGCAATTGAAGATTTCTTGCTATTGTGCAATACTGTGCAATTGAAAATTTCTTGCTATTGCACAATACTTATTATATAATAATTTACACATCCTGTTTGGTGTGTATCTCCTACCATATCATTATTATTTGCTTTTAAATATAAATCAGAAATAACCAACTTAAAATGGAAAATTTTAAAAGAAAAAAAAAGGAAAAAAAGAAAAAAAAAAGAAAAAAAAAATCCCCCCCCAAAATTTTTTGAACCCCCTTATGATTCATCACCCCCAAACTCAATCTCAGCCTTCCCTTTGTGGTATGGTACCTTGCAGTACAATTTCAGAGAGATCCATACACTTGAACACAAGTTATTGTCTGGAAACTAGAAAAATGCTTATTTTTGGCCCCTTTTTGGCCCCCAATTCCTAAACGTTTCGGGCAATTACCCCCAAACTCAATTCCAGCTTTCCCTTTGTGATATGGAACCTTGTAGTACAATTTCAGAAATATCCAAACACTTACACACAAGTTATTGTCATGAAACTAGAAAAATGCTTGTTTTTTGCCCCTTTTTTGGCCCCTAATTCCTAACATTTTGAGGCAATTACCCCCAAAATCAATTACAGCCTTCCCTTTGTGATATGGAACCTTGTGGTACAATGTCAGAGAGATCCATACACTTACACACAAGTTATTGTCTGGAAGTTACAAAAATGCTTATTGTTGGCCCCTTTTTGGCCCCTAATTCCTTAACTGTTGGTACCATAACCCCCAAAATCAATCCCAACCTTCCTTTCATGGTATTGAACCTTATGGTAAAATTTCATGGAGATCCATTCACTTAAACTAAAGTTAGAGTGCGAAAACCAATGTGTCTTCGGACGACGACGACGACGACGACGACGACGACGCCAACGTCATACCAATATACGACCAAAAAATTTTCAATTTTTGCGGTCGTATAAAAACTGGATGCTTGAGATTTTTCAGGTGACAACTTTTTTGGAGGGCCAGAGCAGTCCCTGCACATTGATAACAGCCCACAACTTTTTTAACAAAGAGCATCTTTTAACTGTTCGCTTGTTGGGTGTAAATAAAGGCCCATAACTCTAGAATTACAAGTTTGTAAAATCTTCCTAAATTAAAAGGGAACTTGTAAAACAACATAAAATTAACATTGAATATTCAACTAAACTTTATCATCAAACATTTATTTATGACCAGATACCTAGTTACTATACAGTACATAGTTCCCAACATTGTAAACAATTATCTTGAAATCATTTAAGGAAAACAGTTTTAAAACTAAGAGTTGTTTGCTTTAGGTGACTAGTCCAGTGGCAGATATTTTATGCATGCTCAGGATAAGGTGAAAAATTTAATAGATATAAAATAAAAAAATTGAGTTATCAAAAGATGTACTCCGTACTGTTCAGGAATGGTATTCCAATAGATTAACTTTAAGTTTAACTTAAAGATAGAGTGCAAATTCAAATAGCAAGAAATGGTTTTACAATGTTCATGCATTACTTTTGATGGCATCTTTTTTGCATTATTTTTTCAGGATATACATGTATCTCATTCTTGGACAAACTTTATGGTCAGTGATAACTGCTTTCACTAAACTACAATGAACATTATTTCCAATAATAAAAATAGATGTTTCAGTTGAAAATGACATTTCTACACTTAAAAGACCATTTCAATCTGATACATATTCAATTTATTCTAAAATGTTGGTCAGAACATTTGAGTCAGTTGATCAAACTTATGTTTAAGACTGATCTAAGTACAAATGTATAGCCCTTTACAAAAAATGTATACATATGTATTCAGAAATAATTATAATCTCTAAATACACAAAGATTCTGTCTGAAAAGTTTTTGAAATATAAGTGTTGAAAACAAAAGTAACAATGTTGTATGTGCAATGCATGCTAGTCAATGTGCATTTTACTTTCATTTACTATCAATGGGGTATACCCCTACTTGTGGACTATTGATCCCCAAATAAAAAGTATCATTGCTCAGTAGTCAATGTTTTGATCTAGGCAATATAAAAATATTGAGTAATTTAAAATTTTTCTAAAAACTTAAGAATATGTTTATGATGCTAATTACTGGGACAGAAATTTAGGCATCTTGAAGTTGAAGCATGTGAAGAATGTCAGAGGTCAACATAAAGTATTGTCTGGGATAGTTTATTTATAACCTGATAATTTGTCCAGCAATGTTGGTCATTTAACAGTGCAAGCCACAAGATAATGAAGGGACTATACTATAGGCTCTTTATGATCTTGCAATATATTGATATGTCAATCCATTTATATAAACTGCATTATAAATATTGATAAGTCAATCCATTTATATAAACTGCATTATTTATTTGTCAAATAGACTGCAGCTTTCTCATCAGGTAAGACAGAGAAGGTCTCCCTTACAATACCTATCAACTGACCTCAAATTCTTCAGTTTACATAATATATCAAATCTGCATTCTTGTTTATCTCTCATAAAGACAGCATATTTCCTGGTTAAACATTCTTTACATGCCATAAATATTCAGATGTCTTCCATCATATTGTTTACAGCTGGCTACACATGGATGAACAATGATAAAGTTTCCCACAATACCAATTATGAACTTAATTTAACTACTTTGTACATAATTTAGTGAAATTACAATGTTTTCACATGGGAAATTTCATAGCTTCTTTGATAAAGTTTGACCAAGCATTACTTCATCTGTGGCCAATTGTAGGTGGTTATTTCAGTTCAGTGGTCAGATTTAAGGTTTCAACCGTTTAACAAGGTGGTTCAGATTGTGTATTTTTGATTCAGTTTCTCCTTACTTTATATTACTGATGTTCAGTAAAAGCCATTAATTATTGTAGACTTTGACATTCTATATACATGTGTATCATCTAAATTCTGACTGATGCACTGAAACAAAACATATTCAAATATAAACAGTAAAATGTTAAATTTTAGGTTTTGAATTCATTGTCTAGACAAGAAAACAAAAATAATGCCAGGATAACATTATATCTATTGCAAAAAATATATTGATGTACTATCTGACATCAGAGCATCCCAACTAAAGTATGTATGGTATGTAACCAGTCATATATACACAGCTGGTACATGAATCAGCTGACTGAGGAGGTCCCCCACAGGGCATCAATATTACAATCAAAATCCCTGGGGTCAATCAGATGAAATAAATATTTGTCAAGGGAGTTTTCTGTCATGTACAAGAATTTGACAACTTGTGTCTACTGTCAAACTTGTTTGGATTGAAAGGCCTTGTAGTGTATGTATTTGTTTTGTCATTATTTGATGATTAATAGATAAGTAACTTATCCTTACTTATCCCCAGAGATGAGGTAACACTTATCTAAATCTGAATACCTGATTTCCCAAATACACAAAATTCTGACTGATTCTTATGAGAAATTTACACCTTTTGATCTCCCATTATAAACTTTTATGATCCCCTTCAAAAGAGTTATTGGTCACTTAGCAGGGGTTATCCAACTCAATATTTATAATATATTGGTCAAGGACACATACTTAAATATGACTGTATGTAGCATGCTTACTGTGTACAACTGGTATATAAAGCATACACCAAACAAGTAGAATAATTATAAAAGAGAGAAGCTTTGTATACTAAATACAAACGTCTAAAATATACTAAATACTAACGTTTGAGACGCATGGCTTGTAAATGGTACTCCTGTTCCTGTCTTAGCCAATGTCCACGGTTTGATAACATACGTTCATCCATGGCACTATCCATGACCAATATTTTGTTTTCACCACTTTCCTCATGAACCATTAGAATTAAATTTTATGTCCTAACTTGTTTTGTCAAAGTATGTCAATGTTTTTCTGATGCAGACAAACAATTATTTTCACTAATTATATGCAACTTTTAAAACATGCCAGTCTTCTGCTGTCCATATGAACACAAATTGTATCAGACATGTTTTATATAATATCTTGATTTCAAGAGAACACCAAAGAAATATTATTGCACAGTCTGAATATCAATAAACTCTATAAAATATCAACAATAATAACAAATAAACAAACTATTGCAAGAATCCCAGGCCTTCACTTAAAATCCATCATAAAGGAAGTAAGACCATATTATGGTGCTGTGAACTCAAATGACCTCCATGGTAGACAGTCAAATTATTCACATCCTTAATGAGCCCTTTTTGCACAAGAAAATAATCCATAACAAATAATGGTCCAATACAGGGCACTGAAGGTGCTAATTTAAGGACACTTCAGGTCACTTTATGTCCCTGTAAAATTTACAGCATAGCACCTGACAACACAGTGACAGAGGAGCCATAATTGGATCAAAGATGATATGTGCCTGAGGTTACTGACTGTTATCAGCCAATCAGATTTCTTCTTACATCCATTATCTGGATGTAAAATGTTGTCTGGTCAATATGTAATGAGAAGTCTAGAGGAGATATAGAGGCTCCCTAAGGGTGTGTGACATTATGTAATAAACGCTTTTCCAGTTAGTTTACTTAGGAAAGCTGTTAAGATGTACTGATATGTATATATATAATGTTAACATTTTGTTTAGAAATAGTTTGAATAACACTTATCAGGTATTTATAACAAATTTGAATATTTTGTTAGGATTATTTGAAGATAGAGAATAAATAATTACAATATTTTGATAAACAATAGCTCATGCGTTTTAAATTTTATTAACTTAAAAGAGGTATGTATATGTACTTAAAAACTTTCTATATTCTTTAAATATCAGGTTTTAACTGTAACAGACAAATAAAACACTCTTAATTTACTTGTAAATTGGTTGAAACCTATGCGGAGCTCTATAAGTCCTTTTCTTCTCTTTTTTATGGTTGTTGGTCTGCTATCTCCTTTTTGGTATGGATAAGCAGGGATTTTGATTAGGAATTTAAATAAAAAAAAAATATGTATTAAAATAAAGAAAGATTAAGGTATCTTCAATTGAATCCTGTATACATTTGTAGCCCCAATTTTTTAAGAGCTATGTATATGTATGACAAATTCTTATTGAAATAAAGGAATGTTTCAGAGGACACAAATGCCCCACCTTAAGGTTACAAGTGTGCAATTATTTGTTTACATTCAACCAGCAAGTTTTTTACAAGATGGTACTCAGAATAAATACTTTAAGGCTCCTGATTGGAAGATGCAGGTTGGAATTATTTTTTATTTGAAAGCTTATCCATTTAGGTTTGAGGATAGGTGAAAATTAAATTCATAATTTACAATGTGTAGAAGATATAATTTTTTATTAACTGAGGAGCCATTCAAAATTAACCTTTCCAATTTAGTGTAGAATTTGGGCAACTTTTGCCACATGACCATATATTTTTTTTTTTTGCTGTAATAATAAGCTGACATCTATGGTCACAGGAACTGCTACCCTTTTTTTCTTTTTGTTTATTCTTCAAGGTATAAATTTTTGATTACCACTGGGGTCCTATAGAAAATGCATTACAAATAATTGCGCTCTTGTTACCTATAGTTTTGCAATTTTCCATGTTAAAAAGGTGCATAACTCTAGAACAGTAAACGACTCACTGCCCAAATCAGTCTTCACAATGAACTTTTGAATCCACAGGCAGAACATCAATTTAACTATTATTTCAGTTAAAATTCTATTGGTCTGTAGACCTGATTTTTACAGGCCCGGTATCAATTTTACAAGCCTGGGCTGGTGGGCCTGTGGTTCAGCGTGAAGACTGCCAAATCTAAACTCTGTCTGCATGTTGTGGATCTTTGCATTGTGTACGAGTTTCATAAAATTTTGATGAGGAAAACTTGTTAAAGAGTGCGGAAATGAAAATGGGAAGTGCAGAAAGACAGATGGATGGTCAAGGGTAACACTTAATGTCCCTATAGCCTGCAGTGGGGGATAAAAATGAAGAATGTGTCCATGGGACACAGATGGCCCTTGCTCGTAAATAAAAGGAAAATTCTGTAATTTTTCAATTAACAATGGGACATAATTCAATAAATGGGGAATGTGTCTATGGGACACAGATGATGCCCCCGCTTGCATATAATGTTATAAAGGGACATAACTGAAGAACTGTAAAAGTGATGCTACCCAATCTGTACTTAATCTGAGTTTTGTGGTAATAAGAATTGTGTATAAGTTTCATAACATTTAGTTGATGCAAACTTAAGAGAACAGAAACGAAAAATTCAGCAATTAAATTTGTAAAGGGCATAACTCTAGAACAGTAAAAGTGACACCACCAAAATTCAAAATTGATCTGTGTTTTGTGGTAATAAGCATTGTGTATAAGTTTCATAACATTTGGTTGAGGCAAATTAAAGTTAGGGAACGGTAACCAATTTTGGGACGTACGTACGGACGGACAATGGTAAAACTTAATGCCCCCTCCACTACGGTGGGGGCATAAAAACTGTGAAAGTGACACCCCACTAATTTGAACTGGATCTGTGATTGGTGGTAATAAGCATTGTGTATAAGTTTCATAACATTTGGTTGAGGCAAACTAAAGTTGGAGTGTGGAAATGGCAAATTTGACAATTTTTCCATTTATAAGTACACAACTATAGAAGGGTAAAAGTGATGTCCCTGAGTTTGGTGGTAATAAGCATTGTGTATAAGTAACAGAACATTTGGTTAAGTTTAGATAAATTTATAGTGCAGAAACTGCAAATTTGTAAATTTTTCAATTTGTAAAGGGACAATCCTAAAGAACAGTGAATGTGACCCCCACCCAATTTCAAACTTAATCTGTGTTTGGTGTTTATAAGCATTGTGTATAAGTTTCACAACATTTGGTTGAGGCAAACTAAAGTTGAAGAACAGTAACTAACTTTGGGACAGACAAGGGTAAAACTTAATGCCCCTCAGCAGCGAGGTATAAAGGAGAAGGTCCGGTAAGGGCTAATTTAGGCCTAAAATTTGAAGTACATCTGATAAAAGATTTTTGATGTTTTTTAAACGCTTAAGTGTCTACTTTAGTCGATTCAATTAGTTTATGTAAAAGATTTGAACTGATTTGGTAAGTAAAGACGCTCAAGTTCAAGCTTAAATATGAAAAAGTATCAAATATGCCATAAAACGCCCCTTTCCAGATGGTTTTTGTCTAAAATGTAAGTGGCAGCATTCGTGTTCAGTCTCAACCTTTATATATGTTATGTGTTATCATTAAATACAACATATGTTTAAATATTAAGACTGAACACAAATGCGGCCACTTCCGTTTTTCGACAAAAAACGTCTAAAACTTAGCACAAATGCTAAAATCATGAAGATTTCATTAATTTTGCATGAAATGATGATGCTAGTACCTGACGTGCAGACTACACGAATGAATTTTATTTTTACAGGACATTTGGTCTGGTAAACAACCTAGCTTTACCAGACCGAATGAAATTTTACCTGAACAATTTTTTTTACATCTAATTGTATATTATCAGACAAAATACAACAATCTTATGACTTGTTGTGCCCTACTCCTCTCCAAAATGCACAAAAACAAAATCATGTGACAAGAGTGTATACATGTATTTTGATGAAAGTTGTGCACAATTGCTTGAATGCATTTTAGTGATAAAGAAAAGTAATGTCACATTTTATTGGATTTTGACATGAAAATTATTTGTGAACTAAAAATTTAGAGTTTTTGTATAAAATATTTCCTGTATCTTCTTTCATTTTCATATATCTTTTGGTTTTCAATTCTAGTGTTTATATTTCATAGCTGTATTTTGTGAACCTGCTTGGATTTTTTTTTATGTTTCTATTGTATTTGATCGGCAAACCCAGAAATTGACGTTATCCGTTCCCGGAATCTGATCCGGTATTGTTTATATTTCCGGTTGATGGCAGCCATTGTTCTTTTTGTCAGTCAGATATGTTTTTACTCGGATTTACACATTACTTGTATGCGATTTTCGTCATAAAGCTAGCGGTTGAACAAAACAAACATCGCTGTCATGAATAATAAAGATGAGAATGAATTTTGAGATCGTTTGGGAATTTTGCCCCCAAAATTGGGAAAAATGTAGGGTTTTTAAAAAAATCCACGAAAAAAACAACACCGGACATTCAGACCGGAATTCAACAAAATTTTACCAGACTGATCCATTATTCACCGGATTTGTCCGACGTATTTCGTGTAGTCTGGACGTGTGTGCATGGTATTGTCAAAAACGGCCCAAATTGATGTAACAAAAGTATTCTTCTTTCCAATAAATAGCTAAAAGTCTACGTTTTAACAAAGGAGTAGGTCCGGTAAGGGCCGATTTTGGCCTCAAATTTCAGGTTCATCTGATGAAAGATTTTGGACACTTTTTAAACACTTAAGGGTCTACTTCAGTCGATTCAACTACTTTATGTGAAAGATTTGAACTGATTTAATCATTTCAGTCGCTCAAATTCAAGCTTAAATATGAAAATCTATCAAATATGCCGTAATATTTACATTTTCAGATGGTTTTTGTCAAAAATGAAAGTAGCCGCATCCGTGTTCACTCTCAACCTTTATATATGTTATGTATTATCATCAAATACAACTTACATTTAAATATTAAGAATGAACTCAAATGCAACCACTTCCATTTAAGATGGATAAAGTCTAAAATTTAACACAAATGCTAAAATTGTGAAGATTTCAGTAATTTAGCATGACTAAATGATGCTAGTACCCGATAAATGTGCATTATATTGTCAAAAACAGCCCATATCTATGTAGCAGAAGTATTCTACTTTCCAATAAATAGCTAAAAAGTTACATTTTAATAATTTTGTAAAACAGCTATATTTTGGGGCCAAAAAGGGGTCTTACCGGACCTACTCCTTTTTCATATGGAATTAAAAAAACAAAACCTTTATTGTTTGAATTACCATAATTGGGCCAATTATAATTGCAAAATACAATTGTTTTTTCCAATAGGTTACAATAGTACTATTTTCAAGCTACAGACTTTAGTAACTTAATTCAGAAGGAAAGCTTGATGTTTAGTGGACAATGAAATTGGGGTCAAAACTCTAATTTGGCATTAAAATTATAAAGATCATATCATAAAGGAACATGTGTACTAAGGTTTTTTTTTTGAATTGTCAAAAATCGTGTTTTCACAGAGTCTGGTTCCATTATTTATAATCTATGTCC